TTTTTTATTTGTTAAAAACGTTTGAAATATCCAATAAATTTCGTTCCACTTCATGATTGTGTCCCACTTGTTGTTGATTCTTCACAAAAAATTACAGTTTTATATCTTTATGTTTGAAGCCTGAAATGTGGCAAAAGGTCGCAAAGTTCAAGGGGGCCGAATACTTTCGCAAGGCACTGTATTGTCCTGCATGAAGTGTGTTTATGTGGTTGACACAGTCCCTATTTATTGACAAGTCCTGTAGTAGAAATCCAATCCACCATTGCTTCCTAGAGTTATTTATTGCTTTTTTCCCACCTTGTGCTCAAAAGCACAGAAAATGTCCATTTCATTAGCTTATTCCACGTGTCATGACATGTTCAAAGTTAATCACAAAGCAGCATTTCCCTTGGAGAATTTTTCATTTCATTCATATCCTTCTGTCACCATTAAGTCCTTTTCCTCAGCAGCTATGCACTTCTCCCATTTTCCTTAATTATAGATCCCTGAGCTGTTTCAAGTGTGTTTTGTTTCATTGGTGATAGTTTTTAAACCCAGAGGTTTGTTCTACATCTCCCTTAAGATGTTTTTCTTGATTAACATTTAAGACATTTTCAGTGCCGCTCTCTTCTAGTTTGTTATCTAGGACAGATAATACAAGGAATACTCGATCATCATAGACGCATTAAGTGCTCGGCTCAGTATCACTGTTTCTTCAAAGGTTTCTCCTTAGCTAATGCCCCCCTCACTGAGAGATTCGTGAATATTTAATCATCATGATTTTGAAATCTATGGGCCACACAGAATTAAATATACAGTATTAACAACACTTAGCTTGGTTATGTCAGTTATAATGACTGACGGTGCAGTTTGGGAGCAGCAGAAACGTCAGCTGAGTTTACAGATTGCCATCACCTACTTAAGCTGTCAAACTCCCTCAGCTGCTGCTCATTTCAGCAACAGTCACAGCAGGACAGCTTTCCATCCCCCATCTCCCCAGCACCACCAACTGTGAACACCGGTGTCTCACTTCCATATTACATATTAATACAGCGCAATAAATACTCTTCACTTGATACTGTTTTTCCAGCCAGTACAGGAAATTAATGTATTACTGTTTGGTACTAACATTAGATGGTACAAGATATGCACCTACAGATGTCAATTAATCTGCAACTTTGAAAAGCTGCTCCCAGTTCAACTGTAAATGACAGCTAGACATTTTGTGAAATGCACCGGGGGAATTGTTAACATAACCCATGGCCCTGATGCATTTGGGCACTTCAGTCTGAGTACTGTTCAAGCAATGCAAGCCCTATCATATGTACTGTACACACAGTACATGCAATATACAATATCAACCACACTGAAAAGAAAGAGACTTGACACGCAATTCAAGCCTGTTTCTGCATCAAGTGGGTTAGATGAATGACTGAAATGAACCTGACTTGAGTTGTGTAATTATCATACTGTTGCACATATGAGTAGCAATTATTTTAGACAAAGGGTGCTATATTTAAATTCTGAGCCACACAAAGTTTTTCCTTTCATTTCCACTGAATTTATACTGTGCTGTGTACACTGCTGTGTTTGAGCAGTTTATCTTACTGCCAAAATCTCACAGATTTTGGCTGGTTGGTGCAGGTTGAAGTTGGGCCCATATAAATGTCTATATGGGTATATGATGGGTTTCTAAGAACTAAATCGCTGCTAACAAATGTCTATGACCTGGATGACTGTCCACGGTTAGTTGAGAGCCCTGAACAGACACCCCTGATTGGCTGAAGTGCTCTTATGAGCATGGGCTCAGTGATTTAAAATGACCATTTGACTGACCCTGTGATGGGCAACATATCCATCCAGAGTAGCATATCCTCCACATCCTCAAAAATGTCCAACAGGCACTACAGCCAGCCACCAACACATAACAAGGGTCAGTGGAGCTGTGATGGCTTGCGTTCAAATGAATTGCACACACACATGAACACCATATGCACTATGTGCAAAAGCAACGGAAAACTGCAAATAAAAATTACATGCAAATTAAGAGAAAACACAACATAAGCAAGAGAGCAAAACTCTGGTCTTACCACCGTCTGATGATTGACCTGAATTACTTCATCTCCAGCATGGATTTTCTTACAGCGGTCTGCCAGGGACTGATGGACAGGCAGAAAGGCAGAGTCATTAAATGCTGCTCTATGTCACTGTCATGACAGAGCCTACTGTGACACAATCAGAAGTGACACACCTCATATACACTATGAGTGAATGTGTAGGTGAACACAAAAAGGCTCATACTTACTCCTTCAGTTGTCCCAGTGATTACATGCAAACCGTCATATGTTGATTTGATATACATGCCCTGTGGGGAGACAGCAGCAGTGTAAATGTGAATTTACATTTTAAAGCAAACGCAATGCATTTGCAGAACAGACCAGGCAAAGAGCATGTTCGCAATTATTTTTAGCAGCAGTGAAAAGTGAGCATTTTTATACTGCCTTTGGATTTGTCTAAACAGAAATAATGATTGTACTTTCCAACACATCCAGCACAGTTTGGATTTACAGTGAGTCCCACTGAAATATTCCTTGAAGCAGATTGAATTAAACATTGTTTACTTGCAAACAGTGTTTGTAGCAAAAAGCTTTCACTAAAAGAGGTCCAAAGTGTATTACAAACACACAGATACACACAACCAAGCGTGTATTTGCATACATACTCACATGAGTGCATAACAGTATACTCACACAATTACAGACACACACTCATACAGATACACAAAAGCAGCATGTCAGCCTTCAAGATGAGTGGAAGAGATTTATTTTTAGCCCACATGGCTCCCTGTTGTGTCCATGTTTCACTGAACGGATGAAAGAACTTCCATGTTCGCTGTTAGTGTTTGCGTGGGGGTCGGGCTCTTATTGTGGCCCCGAGGTGGGAGACCGTGGCTGATTGTAGGTCAGTGCGACAATGGTGTCTAAGACAGTGCTGATGGTTATACATTCATGACACAAATAAGTCTTTTCTTTGCTAGTTAACTAAATATTTACAGTTTGTCCCAAATATAAAAGCATACAGTCGGTTGCTACATTGCAACGTGTACAGTACATTTATTCACAGTGCATTTGCCCCTTTTCAACACCGACAACATGTTTCTTTTCATGTTTCACCACCTGACTCATATGTCCAGCAGCTCAATAAAACCTAGTTTGGGGACAGCTACACTAACCTCCACAGAGTACAGCAGCACACAGTGTTTATGTTTTACCTCAGTGTTCTTACTATTTGGAAACATAAAATGATGCAACTGATATTTAAAGCGCCAGTTTAAGAACTCAACAGCCACTTCTCTGTTCAGAAACAACCAACCAGATACTCTGAATAAGACACTAAAAACAAGTGGGCTTGTATGCCTCTAGCTACCCATCATGTGATTGGATGATCAGTTCCACAACTTTATCTTATCTATATATGTCTTATATATATATTTATAGCTAAATTTGGGTAGCTATTTCATTTATAAGCTGCTTAATGACATCCATAAATACCACAAGACCATAAGTACTGCATTACTGTTTGTAATAAAGTTTTTACGGGTGTTTAATATTTTAAGCTCTTAATGCAAATGACTAGTTTCTGCTTGAAACATCTTGTACTACTGCAGTACCGATTATTATTACAACAATATTACCTGGTAGTGTAATTATTTCTCGCAACATGTAATTAAGCAGCCTGCAATTTTAAAGATTACATAACTTTTGCATGTTCTTTGTAAACTAGAATCTTGTCAAAAAAGTGGGTGCTCTACCATTTATATGCATTATTCCTGTCATAATTTTGCAGGATTAGTTGCATCATTAACACCAAGAAAGTCCATAATCTTGCAGCTGCAGCAGGTTCTTTCATCTTTCACACAAAGCCAATAATTATGTTTGTATTTTAAAAAGACAGAGCTACAGAGGTCCTGCAACACCACAGAAACACGCAGAGCATCCTGTAACGGCACTACTGGGTAAGATGCCAATGAGAACTGAGTGCAGTTCCTTAAGCCTGACTGAAGCATAGTCTTACCAGCCCTTCAGCGGATTTTATGTTGGCGAGCTGCACAACCTCCAAATGTGCAGCCTGGGACACCATAGGATCCGAGGACAGAGAGATAATGTGGTCGCACACTCCCGACAGAGTTTTACACTGGGGAGGACATATTAGGGACGATTACAACTATAAAACGTGCACCTTAAAGCTTCACTTACTGTATATTAGATCCAGTAGAACAAAGTCAACAACTCACCACATGCAGGATTTTGTTTTCTGTTTCGTACACAGAGCAGTCCTAGGGGAACAGTCAGAGAGCAATGTTACCTCAAGAGAATGTGTCAAAATGAAGTTATTATTGGCATTTTTGCTGTAGGTGGATCTAAGCAAAAATGGAGCAGCTTGGCACCTATAACCTCCAACACTCCCACACAGACATGCACAAACACAAAACAAATGAATCACCAACGCGGAGGCATGACTCTCTCTTTCTCTCTGCCAGTCTTCCTCTTTCAGTTTTCAACTTTCTCCCTTTAACCCTCTTTCACTTCCACCTTTAATTTTTCCCACTTAGATTTTTCTCTTATCTCCATATCAACAATCTCCTTCATAGTGATTCTCATAAAAGTTAGTAAACAACACTTCTCTCATTATATACTGATCTTTTAGGGTTGTACAGATTGTGTGTCATTTTTTTATACGCCTGCATACAAAGCCAAACATAATGACAATAAAATCTCATCTGTGATTATTAACATTTTATCTGACCTGCTTGTGTCTTTGCTTTTGGAAATATTTTTACATATTTTATTTACAACTACAGCTGAGTTGACCTAACCTGAAGTAATTATTTATGCATAAGTAAATAACATTTTAACCGTTAAACTGACTGCAGAACATCACTATACCTTATGTAAATCTCCTGTTATTTAAACCTTTCATTTGGACTCCTCTTTGAATATGCATGTATAAAGATTTAATAGGTGCAAAAACAGTATTACATGCTTTAAACTGGATGTTCATATATGAGTAATTATGTGAAATGCTGCTTCTGTTTTTTCTGCATCAAAGGTTATAACACATTTTTTGGAACTTCAGCCTTTAAAAAGGATATGCACATATGCTGTCCATGTATCATGCATTTGGAAAAAAACATTTTATATTTGTAAAAAGATAATAACTGTCCTTGAACTGTGCAGTATATCATAACATCACATTATACATTTATTTACCTGTTGTACAATTGTGGTGAGCTCAAGACACAGCTGGATGACATTGTTTCTGGTCACGGAATAGTCTGCCACTGCAGCAAATGGAGACCTAAAACATAAGGAGCACCTGGACTGAACCATTAGATCATTCTTCTATCGAGACTAAATCACTGGTAAAACTGTGGGAACATTTCCAAACACACAATCATCAGTGTGTGTACACATACATGCACACGTGGTGAGGATTCTTTTGTTTTTATCCATATCACAAACTTAATGTCAAATTTAACCAGTCCAACAAATCAAATCCAGTCGGATCCAGATTTAATATTTTTGCTTAAAAAATAATTGTCATAAGTGTCTATCTAAGATTGACTTCAGACCTAAAACCTGCCCAAGGACCAATATTTCAGTAGGAAAGTGCAAACTTGGAGATAAAATACATCCAAACCACAGCTGCTTCTACTGAAGCACCAAGCTACAAAGACTAAAAGCAAAACACTATTTGTGCATGACTATATTTTAAATGTGAACTTATGTGTATATCCAGATGTTTACACTTGCATTTTAACAAGTTTGAACACATTACAGGTGCACCATTTTGCAAACCTCACCTGTCCAGCCACGCCAGAAGGCTTTTGGCTGCAGCAATCAGGTCCACCACAGAAGTAAGAAAATCGTTGGGAAGCTTACGGGTGGCTCGGCCATCGTATTGGCCGCTGCGCCGCCTGCCTGTGATGAAGTTCTGCAGGTTCTTGGCAGATGCATTAAGCTTATGAGAAAGAGTCTTCAGATTCTCAGTCTCCAGCCCATAATTCTAGAGGAGAAAGAAAAATAAATCCACTTTGTTTGACTGGTTTGTCAGTGTTTGTTTTAGCTGTGTTGCATTGCAAAAGATTTCCCTAGTGTGGAGAGTGAATGCAATTGTTGTCATCACACTGCTGCACCACCTTGTCATACTATCAGAGATGCTGCTCATGTACCAAACATGTGAAGAATAAAGCCACTGACCCATCCGCTCAGACCTGCTCCCCTCCAGGCCTGTGAGTGTTTATCATGTCAGAGTTTCTTGGGAGGGCACAGCGTGCCAGGAGGGCCACTAATCATATTTAATACAGCAGTGCCTGAGAGACTTAAAACTAAATTCCAGTTACATAAGGAGCTTTGGGGTTGAAGCAGCAGTGATGCAGGATGAGAGGACTTTCGAGTCAGATCGCATCTGTGACCTAAGTCCACTAAATCTCAACCCAGTGTCTCTGTGTGTCTTGTACACCAACACATCCCCATCTTTATCCCTGTTCCAACCTGTCTCCTTCATTCCCACCTCCCATTCATCTTTTACCATATCCTCCTTTTATATTCCCACATCTGACTGTCTGGTGCTTCACACCTTTGACGATACTACAGATTGGGATGTAATGGGATCAAATGGTCCTCAGTGCAGGGTATTACAGAAGGCCATCAGTGACTACTGTCCCACTGATTGTCTTTTTAGTGCACACATAAGTATAAGATTCTGAAAATAAATAGAATCACAGCATCTTAAACTCCTTTTCAGCTGTGCGCTACAGGTGGACGACACACCAACCAATTCAAACAATATTCTTCAGCTTTTTGTTAACATTTACATAGAAATGAAAGTAAACTGCTCTTAGTAAAAGCTGTGAAAATACCTTAACTGGTAAGTTAACTTCTACTTTCTCAAACTGACAAAAATGGCAATTAGAAGCTGAACATTAGATGTAGAGCAAGGCTTTAAATGTATAATGAATTAATCAGGAACCGTTTCACAAGGCAGTTCATCATTTGGTTCATTTTTTAAAGCAAAAAATTTAGAAAACCACCCAGTTTAAGCTTCTCTAATGTGAGGATTTGATGTTTTATTTCTGTTTTATATCACTGTTACGCTATTAGTCAAAAGGCTGGACACATTTTCTCGGTCAGTTCAGTGGGAAAGTGTGTCCAGAATAGCGTAACTTCATGTATGCTTTGGTTCTGGACTACTGGTTGCAGAAAATAAACAAACTGAAGATGCCTCCTTGGGGTCTGGGAAATTGTAACAGTTCTGTAATTGTTTTCTGACATTTTATGTTCCAAATGAGTCATCGGTGACAAATAATCCACTGATACACCAATAATAAAAACAATCTGTATTTGTGGCCCAAATTAGATCACATATGAATTCTGAATTGTTGTGAGCTAACACATGCCTAAATCAACTAACAAACAGCCAAAACTACAGCATAAACAAAGAAGAACTAAGAAATATGTCAAACCAAATCACAGCAATGAATGACTGGAAAAACAATGAAAGTTCTCCAGAGTTAAGATTTTTCTCCTGTTACTGTAAATATATGATGGAAATGTTCTGTGTTAATGCATTTTAAAATATAAGTTTCAGAAAGAAGTACATATTCAAAAACTAAAATGGACATTTTGGTAAAGGAAACTCCCTCTCACACTGGGGGAAGAGACTCTCCTGAAAAGAAATGGTAATTTTCTCTTACACTGTTGCAGCCCAGGTCTGGGATCACAAGGTTATACAGGTCACTACAGTGGCAAGTAGAGCGAGTGTCGCAGACTTAATATGTTCTAACTACTTCAGCAGCACTTTAGCCCCATCAGCGGAACAGCAGTCGCTCATGCTGACACACACAAAACGTCTGTTCCTTAGACTTAGAGCAAAAATATTTTCAAGTGGAGGCTGTAATACATGTCAGCATTAATGGCAGCTGTAAAATCTGCTTGTAGAGGATATTTTAGTCAGATTATTAAAATTGGCAGATTTGTTGTGATGTTTGAAAAATAAGGTCTAAAGCATTTTATTCTGTTGTAAAGTTTAAAGCTAAGAACAGCATGTTTATTTTAATAAGGAAATTAAAATTCCCTTAAATGTTCACTGGGATGTCGGATACTGTTAGTGATTAATCGATTTTATGGACAGTAACCTTATGCAAAAAATACAGCTAAAACATCATCACTATCAGTTTGTATCTTCAATCCGCATTTATGGGGTTTATACAATGATTTTTTAAAATTGTTTTGATAAGCTGAGGAGGCACCAAATGTGCTACACAAGTGTCAACCGACAGCAGTGGCAATACAGAATAGTGGGAAGCTCGGGCCTCACCAGTGCACAGAGTAAGTCGACAGCCTCCAGTATGAGCTCCTGGTGGCCGATTCTGGACACTCCCAGATCCTCCAGCTCCTGGTGGGTGATACACAGCAGTTGGTCCCCCCCAACCTTTTCCTTCTCAAAGGTTTTGATGTACTGCTGCAGGCAGTCGTCCAGGCCTAAGGGAACCAGACAGGACATCCAAACCTTCAGCACAGCTCGACAAGGTGAGAATTTTGTTGGCTGGCACTATGAGACTTTCACATTTTCTGTGAAGCCTCGATTTGCATTACGTGTTCTAATAGGGCTTGATATCACCTTCCCTGCCAAAATCTGTGCTGTAAATCTGTAAAGTGTTAGCACAGGTTGTATTTTGTTGTGTCCTAAAGTGTGAAACAGTCTGTGTCAGGAAGAAATGTGAACCCTCATCAGCGGTCCCAGAGTGCATTTTCAGCTTTAAACTAGAAAAACTAAAAAGGTGCTGTGTGTCTGAGTTCAGCTTGTTTCACGTCTTTCACTGCTGTAGCAGGTGTGAAGGCCCAGAGTGCATTTTCAGATTTAAACTAGAAAAACTGAAAAGGTGCTGTGTGTCTGAGCTCAGCTTGTTTCATGTCTTTCACTGCTGTAGCAGGTGTGAAGTCTTTGAGTGCAGCAGATGAAAACAAACTGACTCTGCAGCTCCTGTCTGTATCAAAGGTTTCTGCCTTATACTCTGAGCTTTATATTTGGAAACTGCTAACATGAGTTTCAGTACAGTATACACTTGAGGTAGACATAAATGCAGAACCTCCTAGGAAAGAATTAAATCACTCTAATACAACAAAAAAAATCTACTCAATTACCACATGCTTAAATAAAACCTCTCTCTAACACAGAATTCAGCAAAAATCACATGGAGGTATTGACTTCATTTTCTTTAGAAGTCCCCCCTGTTTCAAAGCCCTGCAACATTTGGGACATATGACTTCAGATGAATGCTCAGGTTGCCTGTCTGATGCAGACAGAAGGGAGCACTTGCTACCTGAGAATAATTTATACCAGAGTGATGGCAAGAGCCAAGTATGCAAGAGAGAAGGAAAGCATCCCCACCTCAGCTGTGAAACATGGTGGTTGGAGGAGTTATGGCTCGGGCATGTAGGAACGGGCTCGTTTATCTTTATTGGTGAAATAACTGCTGATGAGACAGTAGAGGCAAAATCAATTCTGCAGCATATGGACACATCTTATCTGCTCAAGCGAATGTCTCAAAACTTATTGGCCAGCAGCCCATTCTACAGCAAGGCAATGATCTCAAACACACTGCTAATGCACCAAACGAGTATTTCAATGGTGGTGAAAGAACTCAGATTATTTACATACACTAGCAGTGCCACAGTTACTCTGTTGCAAGTAAAAGTCCTACATTCAAAATTTACTTAAGTAAAAGTACAAAGGCATCCATCCATCCATCCATTTTCCTCCGCTTATCCGGGACCGGGTCGCGGGGGCAGCAGTCTAAGCAAAGATGCCCAGACTTCCCTCTCTCAGACACTTCCTCCAGCTCCTCCGGGGAAATGCCGAGGCGTTCCCAGGCCAGCCAAGAGACATAGTCCCTCCAGCGTGTCCTGGGTCTTCC